ATCTTCCAAACTTTTAGATAAAGTTAATAGAAGTTTATACATTCATAATACTTTCTTCCTTATTAAGCTTATATCAATGCTTCCGATAATTATATTATTTTACATGGATGACATTTATTTGCGTATTATTTTTTGAGGTCTTTCATGAATGCTATTAGAAGCCGTACATAAAATTATCAAGTAATATACACTTAGCTCCCTTCATCACTGTCAACAATTTTAACATCCATTATAAAAATGAATAAAGTCACTTATGTCTTAGCCACTATACAGGTATACAACTAATTATACCGATTCTGTTAATAATAACCGACTAAATAACGAGTGGTGACTAAAGACTTAAAACGTGTTAGCATGATTATTTTATAGTAGTTTATCGTAACTTATCCGTCATTTAGCACTAAAAGTGTGCGGTTTTAACCCACTACAAACATGCGGTGTTTTATTATACCTACAATGACCGATAAAGTGTGCAGTTTTTGTTTATCGACCTTTTTTGGGTCGAAATCATAAGTGTGCGGTTTTCGGATTCAACCAGAAATGTAAATGCATAACTAATTTAAATTTAATTAGAAGAGATACGCTAAAATATATTAATATATTAACTCGTATAATGTTTATTTTTATTTTACATAGTTATGTAAAAACATTTTTCCTTGGTATAAATATTATACTTTATCATTAAAACATTAACAATATATTATAGTTTCTTTTATTATTATTATCAGGACGTGGACTTTCACGTAATAAAAAAGTCAAAATATGTAAATATTTATGTTCTTATTTTGCCAAAATATTTATTAAAAACATGACATTTTTAATAAAAAATATCGGTACATATCATATAAATTTTGAATTACTAATTAATTAGTAATTATTCATCTAATCATTTTCATTGTTGTCTTCTTCGAAACAATTGAATATTACGTATTAGGACAGTGGTTCCCAACCGGTATGCCGCGAGCGCCCTTTAAATGTGCCGCGATAAATTTATAAATTGTTATATAGGTATACATTTACCAGCTTATTATTGATATTCGAGATGAAAACTGATCGAACTAATCATAGATACATATAATATTTATTGTAAGTATGCCCGTCGCAACCGTCTCGATCGATCGATTTTATTAATATATTTCACAATAAATAACTCTCTAATAGAGTAGACTGTAAATAGTATACATATATATAAAATATGGTTCACATAATATATGGATTGGTGTGCCGCGAAAATTTTGTTGGATATGAAGTGTGCCGCATTGTTGAAAAGGTTGAAAACCACTGTATTAGGAGATTTTTAAATTTAAATTAGGACTCAAAATCGACTTGTTACAGATGAAGAAGTGTTCTAGGTTAAAATTTTCTAGATTAATGGGACATATTTCAGATGGTGTTAATTCAATATAGATTAACGTATTTTTATTTTTATTTAGAAGAATATCTCTAATAGTTTTAGTTTTTTGTAAATTAACATTATTCAGAGTAATAGTTTAATTTATTTTTTAACTCTAGATTTATTTGAATTTCATTTAATTTGTTTTCTGGATTTTCCACGATCGCAAGATTTATTTTTTGTTAGATTTGATGTTTTCAACTTTTTGTTACTTTAACCAAAAAACAAAAATTAGAGGAAATATATGTTGAATGATTTTTCAGGTCATTATTTTGCATAATTTCAGTAGTTTGTGTATTAGCGATTGCAGTATCTGAATGAAGATTTTAAATGATTTCTTTAATTTAATTCCATTATCAACACCACACTAATGTGCCGCGATAAATCTATAAATTGTTTTATAAGTATGTATTTACTAACTTATTATCGATATTCGATGAAAACTGATTAAACTAATCGTAGATACATAATAATTATTGTATACCCGTCGTTACTGTCGCAATAGATTGAGTGTTTTAATTTATTTCATAATAAATAATTATCTAATAAAGTAGACTGTAAACTATATACATATATACAAAATATGGTTCACATAATATATGGATTGGTGTGCCGTGAACATTTCGTTGGAGATGAAGTGTGCCGCATTTTTAAAAAGGTTAAAAACCACTGACGTAGAAGCATCCAGTTGTATTTGAAATTCAATACCTAATTTTATTGATATTTTATTTCTTAGGCCGTCTTTATAAAAATATGACAATAATAAATGTATACAGATATTATATTTGTATATAAAATAAATATAACATAATAGGTATGTAATTACATATTGTTTTGTATTTATTACGATGGGATGTATCCAAACAGCAATAACAACAATAACGATGATAATCAAACGAAAAGATTTTGTCGGTTCACTGTAGCTTCAGAGTAGATCAATTAGTGGCGAAGTTGCTTATGAATATCCTACTCAGACGATACTCGAGTATCCATTGCGTCGCCAGGGAAGTGCTTTGTGTGAAGACAATAGTATAAACTTTTTAAAAAAATAGCTTAATAAATTGATTAAATAATTACGCTTAAAATTAGAAATATTGTTGAAGAAATTTTTTTAGAATAAAAATAGGAGTAAGGTGTTTAAAGTTTAAATGTAGATATGATTAATGTGTGAACATGAATAATCTGTACAATACAATGCGAATGTTTATATTTAGGAGATAATATTATACTAATAGACGTACACACATGGTCTAGACGATATAATTACATTTCGATAAAAATGTAATTTTGTCACTCGGAAAATTAGATTCCTAATATATTTAAGTATACCTATACAAGGTTATTTTGGCTACATTTATCATAAATTCATAACTAATTGAGTTCAACGAAAGTATATCGAAAACCATGATAATGCAATGTAATCCTTGAAAATTCAAGTAAAATAATGGGGATTTATAAAATGTTTCAACAATATCTATAGATTCATTTATTGGAATTCAGAATTTTAGTTATTAAAAGATTTCTGATTTGAGATTTGAAAAATAAATCATAGGTAAGATTAAATTAACTATTTTAACATTTTTAATTGTCTGTACTCCAATTGCAACTAAAATATCGTCAAGTCCCTAGCTCACGCGGCTTTTTGTTAACCTGACAGCAATCAATTATTAGTATGTACATTACGAGGAATAGGTTTTCACAGCCAAAATGGTTTTTTTATTTTGTTATATTGTCGTCCTAGAATTATTTTAATATCGCTTTTAAATTTGAAAACGTCCGTCTTAGTGTTGGTGGTGCAACCATGAACAAAACTTTGGAGGTGCAAACATCCATATTATTACAAGATTAAATACTTTCGGTAGACTAACTGTGCCTTATATTTATGACTAAGAGGGCTAATAGGCCCACGGATATCAGCATATTTAAGGAATTATTAAAATCGTGTTATTTACTGCTCTACACTGGTTACAATCATTTTTCTATTATCGCTTACATTGTTTTTATTATTTATTTAAGGGTTTGCCTACTTCGGATTGACATTCAGGGTCGTGCGTTATGTAATAATTTGATTCAACTGGCCTTGAAAATCGAGTTAACTCAAGTTTATAAATGTAGACTGTATTAAATTTGTTAAAAATACGATATTGAACAGCGATCGTTTTGCCCGCACCGTTTTGGCAACCGCTGCGACTGTTGCCGACGAAAACTACGGGAGCCGAAAACGTTATTGTCCAGTGGCGACCGCCGACCGGTGTCGTTTAGAACCTCATTCATTGCTCGATGTAATTTATTCGTACTTCATTATCCGACGACATTGTCACACGTGGTAACCGAATTGACGGAAAATGCAAAAAAAAAAAAAAAACCGGTATAAAAATAACCCGACAACAATAGCAGTGCGATTTCGAGAAGCGAAATAAAGAGGCGGCAGCAATAATAATAATAATAATAATAATAATAATAACGCTGTTGCTCGCGCGAATTCTATGTTATTATTATGAGCGCAGAAAAAAAAAAAAGAATAATAATAGGAAAACAATGAACGTCGTTCTCGTGTCGCGCGACGCTCGTCCACACGGTAGGTTATCGTACCGGTGGCCACACTGGGCTTTTTATATTTTTTATTGTCCCGAGAGAGGGGCCACTTGGTTCAGCGACGACTGTCCACACGGCCACACACTACCATTATTATTGGCGTAGCTACGTGCGTGAGCGTAGAGCGGTGGACGGAACGACTGGTGGAAAATACGCTACTTGATACCGTCGTTTCACCACCGCGTTTCGGCTCCACGCGCGCACGCAAGCGAACGCCGTGCGCGTAAACATTCCCTCCTCGGTCGCGGTTAGCGCAAGAAAAGAAAACGGATTTTCGTACGCGATACGTAACCATACGGAGTCAGAGGCGGACGACAGCGGCTTCCGGTATCACCACAGCATACTATGGTATCACGTCGAGTGCGTGCGCGCGCGTCTATGTGAGCTTGTGATAACGCACACCTCGTCCGTATCAGTCTGTATCATTCGCAGTGTCCATTGCCCTTTCCACGGTGCCCGCTCCGACAGCACTAATTCGCCCTCCACCCGTCCCACTGGTCACCGTAACCGTACGATGATAAAACAGAACAGGTATTTCGTGGGCACGGCGGCGTAGGGACAGGGTCCGGCGATAGAGGGACGGAGCCGCGCGCGCGTTTCCCGACCGAGGAGGGCGCCCGCCGATAGCACTAATCGTTACCGTTTCCGGTGAAAAATCTAAACGACGAGAAAACCCGTCTAAAATCCTAACTCACGTTCACGAGAATTGCATCGTTTGGAATTTTTTTTTCCCTACAGTCGAACCGCCTGCATCGTTTGTCGTCGGAGGCGGTAGTGTCTGCCTCTATATATATATATATATATATATAAACGTACACGTACAGTGTGCGTGTGTGAGTGCAAGCGTGAGCGTGCGTCATGTGTGAGTGCGTGTGCGCGTGCGGACGAGAGCGTGTGTGTGCGCTGGTGAGCGTGGCTGTGCGTGCGTGTGTGCGTCCGATGTACTGAGTGCCATACTGATACGCGCGGTGGTGTGCAACGACTCGGGAGCCCCCCCGGTGTATTGTATTACCTGTGTGTCGCTCTTGTCCGGTACCGCTGCCGTTACTGCTGCCGCCGTCGCCGTCGCCGCCGCCGTCGTTGTCGCTGTCGCCGCCGCAGCCGACGACACGGGACACCGCGCGTTACGTGTACACACGGCCGCCAACGGGACGACGGACGCCGATGTACTACGTCTGCTGCTGCTGCTGCTGCTGCTGCTGCTGCTGTGACTGCTGCCGTTGTTGTTGGACGCCGCACGAAATGGCACGGACGCCCGTCCGCGACCACTGCCAGTAGGTAGGTGTTCTCTTCTAAGGCATCCTAAGGCCTTGCCTTATTGGCGTCTCTCTATTCTTCTCCTGCTGCTGCTGCTGCTCCTGTGCGCGATCATTGTTTTTCCGTCTGTGCTATCATTTCTCCACAACAGATGCCCAGGGGATGCCTTGTCTGATCGACGTCGATCACTGGGTATCCAGGTGTGCGAATAGAACACTCGTCTTGCCCAAGTATTTATATATACTTATTTTTACTTTGATTGTTTTAAAAAATTGGGCTACTGATCACAAGTAAACTGAAAATTTCTGGCTGATTTGTGCTTAGGTAGTAGTATCTGTTGGGATTATAATCATATTTTCATTAATGTGATTATTAAATTCATAAATATGATTAAGATTAATTATTTTTCATTTAAACTTGTTAAAACATAACAGCAATGATATTTTCATTAGAAAAATGCCAAATTGTTTTGTTGAATTTTATACGGGTTACTGACTGTAATATTTTGGATTAAAATTTCTCTTCTATGTAGGTTTGATTGGTAGTCATTAATTTTAGTTATGATTTTGTTCACAATCTTCTTTTAATTGGACTGTAGTTATAGAAATCGTTAGTAATTATATTGCAAAACTAAACTGCTGAAAAAATAAATAATTCATTTTAGTAGTTGAACACTTGTGTTTAAAATAGGAAAAAAACTTATTTGTTAATTATATTTAGTAAAATTGTTTTAACACCGAATGTATCTTCCTTAAAAATATATATTCAAAAATGTATCCAATAATCTATACATCATTTGATAGATGAAATTTTGATATTATAAAGTGGGTATGTACTTTATATTATTTATATAGATATTATCAAATCTGTTATTTTTGAATAAATATTTTATTCAATTAGATATTTTCCATCCGATGAACTATATTTTGAATTAGAAAACTTTTAAAAAAATTATTTTAAAATCAGAAAACATTTTATGAAATAAGTTATTAAATTAAAAATAAATTTACTGTTAATAATAGTTGTATATTTATTTAATAATTAAATGAGAATTTCTCTTCAACTTTTTTTATTTCTTTGTTTCCATTTACAAATTTAAATTATTAATCATTGGTAATACTTTTAAAAAATAAAATATGATAGGTGCTTTCCCAGAAATATTTTTATGTGGTATTTGATTGTATTTTTATTTAATAGCTACATTGAAAATAACTGTTTACAAATTACATGTATTAATTTGTTACTTTAAACATTAAATTGAGGTAACTGAGTTTACTGAATTAATAGTGATTTAATATTTTTGTTAGAAAAAATTATTTTTCTTTCTATTTGTATTTTGATATATTTATGAACTATTAAATTGTATTCACAATATTTGTTTATTTTGTTTTAATTATTTTCTTATTACTATGTTTATTTTTAAATTTATTTAAATTATTTTTACTTTTTATCTATTATATTTCATTATTCAATCAAAAAGAGTTTAATTTTGATCACATTTAATGTTGTAGTAGAATAAAAAAATAAAATAGTATCATGCCTTTTACAAAATCAATATTCCATGTCATAATTGAATATTATCATTGTTTAAACCGCATTAATCAAGCTGTAAGTTATTAAATATTTTATTTTTAATTAAAATTATATTTATTTTAATATCACTTACACATATTTAAAAATATATTTGCCAACTTTACCCATAAGTATCTATGTTAGCATAATTTTTTTGTATAAACCATTATTATGACCCTTATGAAGGTTTTATTATTAGTAGGTAAACTTCAAATATGAATGAAAAATTAATTATTGGTAGTTTTATACATTTTTTAATTTTATGCATTTTATTAAAACTTAGTTTTTAACTTAGAGGTTTTATTTTTAATCAATTTAATAACATTTTTTATAAGATGATTAGTATAATTTAAAAACATGCATTTAAGTAGTATAACTTAACTAAAATAAGGCTTGCATTTATAATGTATTTTGATAAAAAGTTAGCAAATTAAATTTTTTAAATAGTTACCTTTTAACTATTTGAATTATATTCTTGAAAAAAGCTAAGTTTTATTTAGGTTATCAGTTTATATTATCTAACAAAATAATATGAAGTTTGCAAAAATGCATTAGTTTTATACCTATAAACCCAGTATAATTCATTATTATTGATCAAAATGATAGTATTAAGTACTATTGATGAAATATTAAGACAAATTATTATAAACATGTGATATAACATGACCATTGACCATGCATTTTTTTAATGAACAACTTAATGAGAATAACAATTGTATGTTATATATATTATAAACTATATTATGTAATATATTAAAGAATATTTTGGCTTAATATATTATAGTAAAATTAAAATTCTAATCCAATTAATTTTAAGTATTTATGTTATAGTTTACATTTACTTTAAAAATGTGAACTACCTATTAATTATCTCATAATATAAAATATACTTACTTATCAAGAAAAATATGTATGTTAAACTTATCTGTTAATAAGACAGTAAAATTATCAAATATAATAAACTATCTTAACTTGAGATATGTTGGTTTCTAGAAATTTTATCAAGATACTATTTTATCAATATGTTATAAGTTTAATGTGGTTTAAAAATATATAATGCTAATATAGCTCATAGTTATTTGACTTCTGTGTCATAAACAATTTTAAAGGGTTGAAATGTATTAAGTAAAAAAAAAAATACATTAAAGTATGTGCCAGACTATGCTTACTATAATCACCACCACCACTACACTCAATTCATGTTATTATGGTATATATAACCATATATTTGTAATATATATATGACTTGAGACTGGTTTTATGTTCGCTTAAAATGAGTGCCCTTTATCTATGACCGTTCTACGTTTACAAAAGGCCAGTCTATTAATATAAGGCATAAATTAAAATATATCTTAATAACAAATTAAGCTTAAGTATAAGGTTTATGGATATCAGTGAAGTTTTTTTTTTTACATCTCATCTTTAATCACAGAATAATTGATTTCCATATCAATTTTGCTTTGCACATTTTGTCTTGGAAAGAAAAGAGACTGACAGACGTTAAAAAAATTTTTGTATAAGCCATTCATTTTTTTTTATACAATGTTGAAAGTAAACTTTAGTATGGCAATATATTTTGCAAAATATATTCTTTAACCTTGAAGTATGTTTTTATGCTTTAAAAATTTTGTGTATCAATTGATAGGAAAATAAGTTGTCAAGAAACCTTATTCAATAGAAGTTATATACTCAGTAAAAATATGTAAAAATTTAAAAATCTGGTCTCTATTTATGACAAATGTTTTCTATGACTTACTTAAAAATATTTTTGTAGAATAATTATTTTTTATGCAAAAAATATTGCGATGCTCTATCATTGTACCATACAATTAGAGTAAGTTTGAGATTATTTTTAAAAAAGAAAAAAAAAATTTATACAAATTCATAACGAATTTACCAATTCTTATTTATTTATTTGCTCTTAATATATAATTTGATTTTTTTTATAATTACTTAAAATGTGTCAATTGGGTTGATTACTAGAGTATATATGATCAAATTATTTGTTCAAACCATGTTATTTGAAATATTAAATTGTTAAGGTTTTATAAGGATAGTTTTTTGATAATATATTTAAAATGCCAATTTATATTTGTTATTATTCTTAATCTTATGTATCTCATTTATCAATTTTATCAACAGAAAATGTAAAAAGATTAGCTGAGCAAAAACTAGAATAAGTACTTGAGTTATCAACTTTTATCATTTTTTTTTGCATTTTTTATTTATATTATAATGGCTTCAATATAATGACAATATTATATATATATAGATGTTAACCGCTATATAGTAAATTACAATTTTAAAATGTTACATGTGTTATTTATGTAACTTATTAACTATCATAAATTCAGAAGTGATAAATGTTGATGTTACTTAAGGCTACATTCTTGGTTAGGTTGGACTAAAAGCAATAATTCTGTAACCTGGTTAGATATCAGTTTAAAATAAAAATTGCAGTTTTGAAAATAGATAGAATCAACAATAAATAATTATATTAATAAATAATAAATAGAAATATATTACATTTTGAGAATTTATTTTTAATCGTATTTTGTTATGAGTAGAGCACAGATTTATATGCTTTTACGCATTTATTCTAGTTGGTCGTATGATATGCTAAGTTAGCACAAAATTTGGTTTATTACATAACAATTTAAACAATCAAATATTTTTAGAGCATATTTTTGTATTAATTACAATTACAATTACAAATTTAAGAAATTACAAATATCGACTTTATTTTGTTTTTCTGAGATAAAAAATATGACAGAATATTCCATAAATCTCTAACTAGTAATAGACTATATCTCTTTAATATATTGTTCTAGTAAAATATTAATATTTGGATTGAAACATATAATATGTTATATAAGATAAATATAATACGTATGTATATAAAATGTACAAAACTTATAATATCAAACATATATTTTATACCCATTTATAGCCCAATGGATTAAGATTTTTGGGTGTCTTTTAAATATTTCTATTTGACTATTCATTTTTTTAATTAAATATTTTTATATAATATAATATATTTCTTTACTTCTACAATTCAAACAAACTTAAAAATATATAACACTGATATTAATATTAACTAATTTTATCAAAATTAATTTATATTTTGGATTAATTTAATAAAATATTATTATGATGACTTCTAATGATGATAACCTTCTAAATTTTACATGATTTACTTTTGGTAATAAAATAAGATGTTATTAAATCTTATTATCATATACAGTAACCATACATTTTCAATTGTATTTTTATAATATGTATATTATTATTGAATACTTATAAAAATGTTTAACTTTTCCTTTTAAATATATACACATATGTGCTTATAATACATATTTATATTAATTATTGGAAATAAAGTATTAATTTATGATTTTGTTTAGTAAAATATTGTTGACATTTAAAAACAATAATTATATTA